AGCTGATTTTGCCCAAAACACAGAATCAATCATCTGCAGATTAGATTCAATTAGAATTCGTGTTAATGACCAGAACCCGCACTTTCCAGAAATAATCTCGGTTGCTGAAACGCCTATTAATATTTTCTTTCTTCTACCTCTTCGATCGTTAGCATTAAAAATTGGCATCTTCGTCGTCGACGCTGGTCGCTATGCTATATTTTCTTCCTTCTCCGGCTCGCGTCATGATTCTACTCGACGTCATCTCTAATCCGAGCTATTACGTCTGAGAAGAAACCCTAATCCCTCATCAAATATTTCATTTCCATTGCACTCTATTTTAAAATCAGGTAAGGATTCGATTTTGCGTGAATATTAAAGTTTCGCAATCGATCAAATGGGTAGCATTTCAAGTGTTGTAGGATTTCATATTTCGATCTGGGTAGGGATTGTTGAACCAATGATTGATTTCTGGCTTGTTTACTCGTTTTTTGGTTTGTTGGAACCTTAGAGGAAGCGAGAGTCGGATTTATGTCCCAGCATCAATCTAGGGCTGAAAAGACCGAGGGACATCTCAGGAAACCAGGCCGAGCGGGAAGCTTTGGGCAGCACAGGAGCTTCTCCGGCGGTGGAAAGGGTGGCGGCAGAGGAGGCGGCGGCGGTGCCCCGGCTCCTGCGTTCTCGGTCGCTACTGCTGCTGCGCCCCCGTCCTTAACATCTCATGCCTTACCCGCTAACCGAAGGTGGGGTATTTATCGATCTTTTTCTTTTTTTTTCTTTTTAAGTAGGCGGGGTTTTGTCATGAACCAGGCGGATGGAAGGTAGGGTTTTGACTGCCTCTTTTTGATAATGGTTTCTAGCATCAAGAAATCTGATAATGGTCCGGGAGCGCAGTCTAGCGAAAGCACGGTGAGCTCCAACTCAAATGCCGCATACAGAACTGGAAATGACGGAGCTTATTCTACGGTCCTTTCTAATGGTATGGATTTTCTAGCCGCTCATTTATGAATTTACGAAAGTTTATTTATTCGAACCGTTCTTAGTGCAATTGTTGATTGTTAACTTGTGTGGTTTTTATAGGGTCCTCTGCTAGGCCTGCAATTGTTGATGTTAAACCAGAAGACCCACCTAATAGTCAGAAAATTGGCAGAGCAGCTCCTAAATCTGTGGGTGCTATGCCTCATGCTGTTTCTGATGCTGCTGGATCGTCTGCCCAAACTAAAGGTTTTCAAACTTTGTATTTAGTTTTGTTTCTGTATTTCTGGCCTTCAAAGTTTAATTCAGAATTCTACTTGCATAACCCATAGTTCGTTAGTTGGTAATTGTCTTAAGCTTTACATTGCTTATGTGTGTACTCAATGGCTTGTGATAAGTTTTGCCAGTCTTCTCAAATTTTGCAGGTTTAACATTGCTGTTATTTATATTGTTTTTCCCTAATTTTATTTCAGGTGATACATTTGGAGCTTTTCTTCAGTTTGGAACCATCAATCCTGGGATTGTAAATGGCATGCAGGTATTGTCTTTTACTTTCTTGTTGGCGTTCTTTAATTTTTTTCTTTTTT